AGCCAGGTGGCAAGACAGGTGGGGCTGGAATGAGGGCGGAGTCGCTGAGAGGCGGCCCAAGCCTTGGTTGCTATAGAGATAATCGCTGTAATGACACACTGGATTGCTGTCACACTTTACAGTTTCCTAATAACAGCGCCATTCGTGAGTTGTGAGTGTAGGGCTGGCGCGGGCCACCAGGCAGTGGGGATGGTACCCCACTAGATGAGCTACCCAAGGCCTAGAGACACAAGCCTCTTGTAGAACCTTAGCAGCTAGTAAAAGGCCAAACTGAAATGTGGACCTAGGTGTGACCCCAAGAGGGGAGCCAGGATGGCCAGCATGTGGTCTCTGGGTGTCAAAACCAGTTGCTCAATGCTGTATCCTGTGAAAGGCAGGCTAAGTCAGTACCAGTGGCTCACGCCTGTAATCCAGGCTACTTGGGAATCGGATCGGAATCTGTGGTTTGAAGCCAGCCTAAACAAAAAACGTCTGTGAGATTCAGCTTCCAAAATAATGAGCAAAAAAGCAAAGCTGGAAGTGAGGTGTGACTCAAGTGGTAGAGTGCCAACCAAGCAAAAGTTAGGCTCCTAGTCACTAGGCCATGACAGCCTGCCCTGGCTGGCAGGAAATGTCCTCATTCTCAGACATGGCTGGGCTCTGGACCACAGTTTTGCAGAGGTTTATTTGTGGAGTGTGGAGGCGGCCCTGGGTCACACAGTCTGCCTGGCCAGAGAACTGAATGCTGTTTTTACTGTTGATTTCCGGCCTGTGGGTGACTTAGCCTTCTGGAGGCCCCAAGCTCACAGTTCTTTATGGGTCCTGCCTAGAGTCTATTGTCCTGAGGACCCCAGAAGATCAGAGGCAGCAGCCAAGCCGCATGCATTTCTGCCACGTTGTGCCTTCTTCCAGATGACGGGGGGGGGGGGGGGGGGAGAAGAGGGCGCTCAACAGCATTGGCCAGGCCCAGCCAGGTCACAACCACCTCAGATGATTCATCACTGGACTTTAGCTGCCAGCTGTGGTTCTGGGTGTTAGGTCCAGTGGAACCTGGCTGGATTAACAAGGGAAGGGAAGGAAAAGGACAGAGTGGGGAATGGAGGAAAGGAGCAAAGAAAGAAGAGCTGGATGCTGGTGGCTCCTAGCTACTCAGGAGGCTGAGGTGTGAGGATGGCAGTTCAAGGCCAGCCTGGGCAGGCAAGTCCGTGAGACTATCTCCAGTGAACCACCACAAGAAAAAAAAGCTGGAGGGGAGCTGTGGTTCAAGAGGTGAAGTATCAGCTTTAAGTACATAAGTGGTAGGATGAGGCCCTGAGTTTGAGCTCCAATACTGGCACCAAAAAAATAGGAGGAGAAACAAACTGAAGAAATGAATGAGGGAATAAATGCTTGCCAAAATGAATGCACAGAACACATGGCTTCTTCATGGAGGTCTCAGACAACTGTCCCCCTTCCGGCTGCTCGAAGGACGTAACCCTAGTCTCGGACCCTCTACCCCATTTTTCTGCCAACACTACCCCCTCGTTCCTTGGCTGAGGCTATTTGGCTTTCTGCTGCCCCCGTGTGGTCTCTCTGGTCTCTACCAGGACTTCCTGCTCTGGGGATGATGGATTGGGGCCCTGATTTGTGGGCTGGGGTATGCATGCTAGAATACAGAACCTCAGCTATGTGGTCCTGCACCTTAGGAGCAGGTCCTCCAATCCAGACAGGGCCTTGGATTACAGAACCATCCACACAATCCCAAAAGTCAGAGATGCTCCAACTTTGACTGGTTTACCCTGTCCACCACTCTCATTCTTTACATTGGGGACAGAGGCCCTGGGAAGGGAGGGACTGTGGCACACAGACAGCAAGGAAGCAGCAGACGCAGGTCTAGACAGAAGAGACTCACAGCACAACCACCCGTGTACAGGACCCACAGCACAAGCACCACCTGCCCTGCTTTTCTCACTGTTGGTCTTGCTGGGGGATGGGACAGCCTGGATTGAATGGACAGAGAAGGAACCCAGTGCCTCATAGCTTCACCTCAGTGCTTATGCAGGCTGTGTGTGTGTGTGTGTGTGTGTGTGTGTGTGTGTTGGTCCTGTGTTGAACTTGGCCTGGCCACTGTCCTTGAGCTTTTTTTTTTTTGCTCAAGGCTAGTACTCTACCACTTGAACCCCAGCTCTACCACTTCTGAATTTTTTGGAAGTTCATTAGAGAGAAGCATCTCACAGACTTTTCTGCCCAGGTTGGCTTCAAAATGCAGTCCTCAGATCTCAGCGTCTTGAGAAGCTAGGATTGATTATAGGGTGAGCGGCTAGCACCCACATTCCTGTCTTTTTTTTTTTTTGGTGCAGATACTGGGACTTGAACTCAGAGTCTCATTCTCTCTTGGCTTATTTCACTTAAGGCTGAGACTGTCTCATTTCAGCCACAGTTTTTAGGTGGTTAATTGGAGATAAGTCTAATGAACTTTTCTGCCTAGGCTGGCTTCAAACTGTGATCTTCAGATCTCTGCCTCCTGAGCAACTAAGATTACGGGTGTGAGCACCAGCACCTGGTGCCCTTTCTCTTTCCCTTCCTTCCTTCCTTTCTTTTTTTTTGGGTCCGGTCATGGGGCCTGAACTCTTGGCCTGGGCACTGTCCCTCAGCTCTTTAGCTCAAGGCTAGCGCTCTACCACTTGAGCCACAGCACCACTTCCAGCTTTTATTTTCTTTTTGCTTATGTGGTGCTGAGGAATCGAACCCAGGGCCTCATGCATGCAAGGCAAGCACTCTACCACTGAGCCACCTTCCCAGCCCTTCTTTCTTTCTGTCAGTTGCGGGGCTTGAACTCTGGGCTTGGGCACGGTCCCTGCACTCTTCAGCTCAAGGCGAGCACTCTACTGCGTGAGCCACAGCGCCACTTCTGGTTTTCTAGTGGTTTTTTTTATTGGAGATAAGAGTCTCATGGCCTTTCCTGCCCGGGCTGGCTTTGAACTGTGATCCTCAGATCTCAGCCTCCTGAGTAGCTATGATTACAGGCGTGAGCCACTGGCGCCTGGCTCACCTGGTGCTTTTTCTATTTTATCCACCTGACCTGCTTCTTTTGGTCTTGAAGACAGCTGAGTGTCACTGCCAGGAAGCCTTCCTTGGTTTCCCTGTCACCACCCTCCAGCCAGGCCTGGCCCAGCAGCCCTTCTGTGGAGCTGATGGTACCCTGATGGCATTGGACCTTGTGATGTTACCCCTGGGCCTCAGGGGTACACACGTCCCCCATGAATCCTGGGATCCTAGTTCTTAGAGAAGCAACGAAGGTGACAGGATGGGGCAGGGCTCCCTGGAAGTCCTCTCCCTGCCCCAGCTTTATTTTGGTTCTAGAATCATCCCAGTCAGCATTCTCGGTCCCCACCACAGCCATCCTGGATACACAGCCAACAGTGCATGCACTTAGAATGAGAGGCCGAGGGGCGGAGACGGTGGGAAGGTGGGGCCAGCTCTTGCAAAGCCTCTGGGTAAGGAGTAGGGGGAGGAGGAGGTTTCAAGCTGCAAGGGCTCACCCTGCCATGCATGTGCCCTGGTCGTGCGGACTTCTTGGTGCCGGCCACAGGACAGGCAGCCTGGGGTCAGGACGGGTCCCAGGATGGCCTCCAGTCTCGTGATCCTTCTCTCTGAGTGCCTGTGCTGGCACCTGTCTCTGTGCACTGATGCCCAGTCCTTGGGCCTCCATAGCTCACCAGGGCCAAGGCTGGGAGTCAGCGGAGTTCCCCTCACCCCACCTGTGAGCCAAGGCTCTGCACAGCCCGCCCCCACCAGCCCCTAATCACACAGGCGCGGCGTCCCTGCCCACCTCCAAGGTGAAGGGCAGGGAGCTCTGCTTTTCTGAGATTGTCTTTGTCAGCTGCCGGCCACCCCCTCATCCCGTGGCACCTAGAAAAATCTGACACCCTGACTCCAACTAAACTGGAAGCTAAAGACCAACTCGGGAGGGGAGCATGCAGCCCAGCCCCTTTGGCTCCTAGGCAGGACCCCCTGGGGGCCCCGATTTCCCATTACCCACCCCCCCAAGCTCCTCTCTGGCCATCAGGCTGAAGCCTCATGTCCCTGAGGCCACAGTTTTAGTGATCTTGAAGGAGGACACTGTGTCTTGAGGCCTGTCGATTCCCAGCCAATCCTCACAGAGCTTTGTCCCTTTGGTCCCTTGGCAGGGATTCAATCCTACAATGTGTCTGCCTCTTGGGATTTCTGGCTCTTGTGATGGTTAAGGCCCAGGGAAGGCAAAATTTGAGCTTCCATGGGACCTGAGTCTTCTGTATGGGCCTGGGTCTCTACTGCTCTTCTTCTGCCCAAGGAGAGACTCTGCTCCCTGCTGCTGTGGCCTAAGTACTGGCTTGTTGGAAAGCTTATGTCGCTGCCCTCGCTTGGCTATGCGCTCTGCCAAGGACCCTGAGTTCTCTCACATCCCTCCAAGCGCAACGATTTCCTTGTGCAAGAGTCCTCCCTCCCTCCCTCCCTCCCTCCTCAAGTTCCCACTGTTGGACTGTCACTTAGCCCTGGGGCAGGGGGATCTCAGCTTCTTCTTTTTTTTGGTTGGTCGTGGGGCTTGAACTCTGGGCCTGGGCACTGTCCCTCAGCTGTTCAGCTCAACGCAAGCGCTCTACCACTTGAGCCACAGCGCCACTTCCGGTTTTCTGGCGGTTTATTGGAGATAAGAGTCTCATAGACTTTCCTTGCCCGGGTTGGCTTTGAACCGCAATCCTCAGATCTCAGCCTCCTGAGTAGCTAGGATTCCAGGCACCTGGCTGAGCTCAGCTTCTTCAAGTCTTGCTCACGTTCCCACTGTCAGTGCTTGGCTCTTCAAAAAGTCTTCAGAAACAGTAGGGTGGGAGAGCTGGCCAGTTCTAAGAGTCCAAGTCCTTCTGCAGCCAAAGGACAGAGATCATGAGGACTTCGAGACAGTGGCCCGTGCTCCAGTGTCTGCTGCAGTCCCGGTGTCCTGGCATAGCCACAGCTGGCCCTTAGTGGGAGGAAACCCTGGGTCCCTGCGTGCAGGGCCACACCTGCTCCGGGACTCCAGTCTGGACAGGATTCAAGATGGCGGATGGAGACTCCATGGGGGAGGCCCCCAGCATTCACCGCTCCAGAACGTGGGAGAGAGCTGACTTCGCGCCAGGCCCCAGTGGCTCTGCTGCCCGCCTGGCCTAGTCTGGCTGCTAGTTTCGCCGAACTGGGTGCCACATGGACACGGGCCTGCGTAATGTAGCCAGCATCTGGTTCCAGTGTGTGGTGCCCATGCCGCTGGCCGCTGGCCCGATGATGACATGGCCTACATTGTTCCCACGGCCGTCGCTGCTACTCTCAGCCACCGTCACACGGAGAGACAGCTCCTAGGAAGGAGGTGACATGTGTTGGTGACCAAGAACAGCTGGAGGCTCTCCATGACTCCCAGGCCCGTGGGGTACGAGCCAAGCCCCTGACTCATTCCTCTGATCAGAGAGAGGCAATGTGTCCTTAGCTACTTGGCAAACAAATGGCTCGTGCTGTCAGTACTGGCATTTGAACTCAGGACCTCACCTTCTTGGCTGGCTTTTTTTTTTTTTTTTGCTCAAGGCTGGAGCCACAGCTCCACTTTTGCCTTTTGGCTAGTTCATTGGAGACAAGAGTCTAAGAGACTTGCTTGCCTGGGCTGGCTTTGAACCTTGATCCTTGGCTCTCAGTCCTTGAGTAGTTAAGATTACAGGGGTGAGCCACAGTATCTGGCCAGCCTGTGTCTTTTAGTTTTGAAAGCGGTTCTTGCTAACTTTGGGCAGGCTGGACACACAATTGTGATTCTCTGCCTCTACCTTCTGAGTAGCTAGGGTTTTGGATATGAGCCACCATGCCCAGTTTTTCCTTTCCTTCCTGTGTCATCTTGTTTTGGGTCCTCAACCCCCAAAGGGCTGGCACCCAGTCAGTGGACACTTAGCAATGCCTGTGGCTCATGTCTATAAACACTAGCTACTCAGGAGGCTGAGATCTGAGAGGATCATGGTCTAAAGCCAGTCCATGCAGGAAAGTCTGTGAGACTCTTACCTCCAAGGAACCAGCAAAATCCAGAAGTGGAGCTGTGGCTTATGTGATAGAGTGCTAGTCTTGAGCAGGAAAGCTCAGAGACAGCCCGGTGCCGGTGGCTCACGCCTGTAATCCTAGCTACTCAGGAGGCTGAGATCTGAGGATCATGGTTCAAAGCCAGTCCATGCAGTTAGGTCCATGAAACTCTTATCTCCAGTGAACCACCAGAAAACCGGAAGTGGTGCTGTGGCTCAAGAGGTAGAGTGCTTGCCTTGAGCTGAAGAGCTCAGGGACAGTGCCCAGGCCCAGAGTTCAAGCCCCTCCTCCTCCAACACACACACACACACACACACACACACACACACACACACACTCAGAGACAATACTCAGGCCTGCAGAAGAAAAAAAAATGTGATAGTTTGAGAGAAATCATCACTACCTTTGGAAGTCCTGAGAAACAAAGCTGAGGGATGCAGTGGCCCAGCAGTGCTGGGGTGATGCTTCCCCCTCCCCCCACTTTACCTGGAGTACAATGGCCGGCACGGAGAAGATCATGGCTTCATTGAACACTGGGTTGGGGTCATCCCTTTTTGTGGCTGTCTTCTTTTTGCTCATCTTCCTTCCGTCTTGCAGCAGGTACACCTTGACGAAGGGGTCTGTAGGCAGGTGTGGAGGGGTGAGGACCAGCATGCTGTTCGCTCGGCACAGCCTTCCTCCCTGGCTTTGGCCCATTGCCTCTAGCTCCCAACCCTTTGGTCTGCCATTATCTCTAATAGCCTGCCATTGGGTCTTTCTTCTTTAATTTATTCATCAATTTATTGTGAGATGGGGCCCTGCTATGTTGTCCATGCTTGTCTTATGTGTGTGTGTGTGTGTATGCACACGTGTGCATGTGTGCATGTCTGGCAAAAAAAAAAAAAGTCCAATGGACTTTCCTGCTTAGGCTAGATTCAAACTGCAAACTTCAGATGTCAGCCTCTTGAGTAGCTAGGATTACAAGTATGAGTCACAGCATCTGACTTCAGTTATTATTATTATTATATTATTATTATTATTATTTTGCCAGTCCTAGGGCTTGAACTCAGGGTTTGGACTCTTCCCCTGAGCTTCTTTTGCTCAAGGCTAGTACTCTACCACTTGAGCCACAGCGCCACTTGAGGCCTTTTCTGTGTATATGGTATGTGGTGCTGAGGAATGGAACCCAGGGCTTCATACATGCTAGGCAAGCATTCTACCACTGAGCTACCTTCCTAGCCCTTGTCTTGAATTCTTTTTTTTTTTTTTTTGGGTCTAGTCGTGGGGCCTGAACTCTGGGCCTGGTGGGCTCTGTCCTTCAGCTCTTCAGCTCAAGGCTAGCGCTCTACCACTTGAGCCACAGCGCCACTTCTGGCTTTTTTCTTTTTGCTTATGTGGTGCTGAGGAATCGAACCTAGGGCCTCAGGCATGCAAGGCAAGTGCTCTACCACTGAGCCACCTTCCCAGCCCCTTGTTTTGAATTCTTGAGGCTCAAGGAGTCTTCAGATTTTCCAGAGTAGGTGAAACTACAAGTATGTACCACCATGACCTGCTCTGCATTGTTGAAAGTCTCAATTTACAGATAAGAAAACTGAGGCTCACAAGGCACGAGGCAAGTCAGGAGAGGGCTGGGCTCTGCCTCAGGGCCTGACAACCATTAAGTTCCCCTCACAAGATGCTCCAGGGGGCTGCGATGATCCAGCACTTCCCCTTTACCACGTGGCCTGAGCACAAATGTCAACCCTGAGTCACTCCAAGCCTATGCAGCAGAGCCTGACTAATGAACAGCGTGCGCCTCTAAAATACCATGTCGCCGTCTGGCTGTCCATCAGCTATTTCCTGGGACTTCTTAATGCACCTGCCTGGGCTCTGAGCTGCCCAGGCTGGCCACTCCCAATAGATCAGTCCTTTGGTTTTGGCTATCTATTACAGCTGCTTCCAAGGGGCTCTGAGAGGGGCTGGGGGCTTATGCAAGGCTGAGGCATTAGGCCTGCCTGGTGCTTGTTCAGAGCTGGTGACCTCAACCTGCATTTGAGGTGTGGCATCCTGTTTCTAGGAATGGGGATCTCTCTGTCTCGTCTGTCTGTCTGTCTGTCTGTCTGTCTGTCTCTCTTTGCCAGTCCTGGAGCTTGAATTCAGGGCCTGGGCACTGTCCCTGAGCTGTTATGTTCAAGGCTAGTGTTCTACCACTTGAGCCACAGCTCTATTTCCTGCTTTTTGGTGGTTAATTGGAGATAAAGTCTCATAGACTTCCCGAGCAGGCTGTCTTTGAACCCCCAGGCTTCCCCATGTGTCCCCTGCTGGATTAACCTGCCCATTTTGCCAGACACTGAGCTAAGCTGAAGCTGGGGCACCTCTGCCCCATGTCCTGCCCCTGCAGCCTGCAGCTCCGTGGCTGGGCTGTGGCTTCCCAGGCCACATGAAGGCACCTGTCACCCAAAGCCTTACCCGCTGTGGTTTTGTCATTGGTCCAGATGAGGTTCTTGGCCTTCACCACCACTACCGTGAGGCGCTCAGCCGTGGGCAGGTAGCTGAGGGACAGCAGGATCTCACCCACGGCGTCGGCGGCCTAGGGGACAGGTGTGGCTCATGGGGCTTCTGTCCCAGGACCTGAGGGGCCCAGGGGCCAGTAGAAGTTCCCTTCTCCATTAGGAAGTAGCTGCTCTTGGGGTTCCTTACACCCAGCTTCTAGGCTGGCAGGATTGAGAGAGGGCAGCCCTCCCCCAGCCTCCCTCCCTTCGCCAGGTGCAGGTGCTGCTGCTGCCTTAGAAGTTGGTTCCCAGGTTGCCTGTCAGATCCATTACAGAGGAACCCAAGTAGAATGGAGTTCCAGCACTTGCTTTAACAATATTACTGGGCACTTAAAACTTCTGTGTTCTTTACCTTGTGGTCAGTACTAGGGTCTTCTGCTTGCTAAACAGGCACTCTTACCATCTGAGCCACATCCCCAGCCCTTTTGGCTTTGGCTTGTTTTTGAGGGGGTTTTTGGCATGTGTGTGTGTGTGTGTGTGTGTGTGTGTGTGTGTGTTGGTCCTAGGGCTTGCACTTAGATGTGAGTGTTGTCCCTGAACTTTTCTGCTCAAGGCTAGTGCCTCTTCCACTTGAGGCACAACTCCACTTCCAAATTTTTGGTTATTTATTGGAGATCAGAGTCTCAGGGACTTTCCTGCCTGGGCTGGCTTTGGATCAAGAACCTCAAATCTCAGCCTCCCGAGTAGCTAGGGTTAGAGGCATGAGCCACCAGTGTCTGGTACATGTGTTTTCCTCCGGCGTGGACAAGCTGGCTGGTGAGATGTACCTTGTTCTGGTCCTGTAAGTAGAGCCAGCCACTGAAGGGCTGGAGCGTCAGGTCAAGCACGGACAGCTTCAGGTCCACCACCCCGGTGCTGACATTCCGCTCGTCCTCGTCGATACCAAACACTGAGAACCTCAGGCTCTTCTCCTCCAGGGCCGTGGGGTCCAGAGGGATGGAGAACTTCTCATCGAAGAAGATGGAGTAGGCATTCCGCTGGATCTGCAAGACAGGGAGCCATGCAGGGAGCCCCAAAACTGAGGAAGAGGACTGGAGAGGCTACTACAAGGGAGAGAGCACTGGGGGAGGAGTCCAGAGCCTGGCTCACCTGTCCTCACAATCTCAATGCTGAATGATCGATCCATTGGTAGCTCAGCCTTGAACGTTTAGGAGTGCCCATGCCTTCTAGTGGCATTCCAAGTCTCTCTAATCTGATCCCTGTGCTTATATCCCATGACGCCACTGAACCTCTCAGAGCTCTGGCTGTGCACGTTTCTGTCTCTTTTGCATCTGCTCAACCCAGCCCCAAGGTAACAGTGGAGATAGGCAGCTGTTTGTGGAGTCCCCATTCAAGGATTTCCCCGCCTCCTGAACAGCTGAGTTGAACCCATAGGATGATGGATGCGTGGATGAATAGATAGATGGGTGGACAGACGGATGGATAGAGCGCCTAGGCGAGAACTGGGCAGGCTGTGTTTCCCAGCTCAGTCCTGCCTAATGGGTGCCGTTGGCCTCATCCCAGGAAGCCGTGGGCTGCCCCTGGGGAGGGAGGTGCCCTTCCACGTGGCTCTCCTTTCCGTGGGGGCTGCCTGAGTCACTGCCTGGCGATATTTAGAGAGGAACACTCATTGCTGGCACCTTCTCCGAGGCAGGGGGGGTGTTGCCCAGCCAGGAGGCAGCCACCTGGACAATGGGACTGGCTGATGCTACAATGCCTGCTCTTCCCTCCATCCAGCCATCACTACCTCAGTCTTCCATGGCTGCCTGGCTCTGGGAAAACTCCTCCTAACGCGTCCCCGAGAGCCACACTGGCCACACAATCCCGTATGAGACTCCTCTGGGCCTCCTTGCCACATGGAACAAAACCCCATGGAAGCTCCTGACCTCGACATTCGGGCTCTCCATGCCCATCTCTCCCTCCCCTGGCTAACCTACTCTCTTAGCTGTCTCCTGCCCATGGGGATCCCTCCCCTCCCCAACCCCTGCTATTTTCCTAGCATTGTGCTTCGTGAACACATGGGGAACAGGACAGGAAACCTGAGATCAGGTCCCTGATCTCTTTATCCTTTGGAGTTTCTAAGCAAAGCCAGCCTCAGTTTCCTCATTTGTAAGATGCCCTAAGATACTGTCCTGTTGGCCTGGTCCTGGGGGGGCGGTGTAGATGAGAATCACAGGTTTGTCGGGCTCTGTGAAGCAGCAGGTCGGTCGGCATGTGTCACTGGGATTGCTGCTGCGGCAGCATCCCTCCCTGAAGGCATGCCTTGACTCACCCAGAGTCCTTCAGGAGGCCCCTGGCTCTGGTCAGCACAGATCAGGACTGACAGCAGCTCTTCATGGTCCTAAGAGCCACTACTAAGTACCTCCTAAGGACCGGGCTAAAGTCTTCCCATGTCTTTCCATGTATTCCCAGCTCTTCCTCAATAATTATGACACCCATTGGAGAGAGGGGGAAACTGAGTCACTAAATATTTTAAGTGGTGGACCCAAGGGCACATTGTTAGGATGTGGAAGAACTAGGATTTGAACCCAGGCCCAGTCAGTATCTAGTGGGGGCTCTTAATCACCTGCTAGACTGCCACCCCCTCAGTGCCCTCCATGCAAAAGTCTAGAACTTTCCACTATGATGGGGACAGGATGGGGACGGATGGCAAGGTTTATTGCTGAGGGCTTGCCAGACAATAGGTAATGTGGTAAAGATGAGCAGGCACAGTGGGCCTCGGAGGAGTCTGAAGACGCTCGGCTTCACAGGTCTTTAGACTCCTCCCACTCTGGTGAGTGATCGCTGGGGTGGTCTGGTGTTTCTTGGCAGCTTGGAGTTCCCCCTGGTTTGGTCCTCTCTGTCAAGGCTAAGGCTAAGCCTTGGAGGGTAGTTGTGGCCCCTCTCACCCTGCCCTGTTGGATCTCTCCCTGGTTTTGTTGTGATGCTGTTTTGGTTTTGTTTTCTGATGGCACAAGAGCTTTAACTCAGGGCCTGTGGTGCGGTTCCTTAACTCTTTCCGCTCAAGGCTGGCATTCTACCATTTGAGTGGCAGTTCCACTTGGGGCTTTTGGTGGCTCAATGGAAATAAGAGTCTCTTAGACTTTCCTATGGGGGCTGGCTTCAAGCTGTGATCCTCAGATCTCAGTTTCCTGAGTACGCTCAGGATTACAGGCGGGCTTCCAGGCACCAGGCTGCACCCAGCTTTCCTTTTCTTTGTTCTTGGTCCCAGACTGACCTTCCTAGGCTGGGTCCGCATGCTCCCTTAGTCTTGGCCTCTGCTGGGATCAGTCACTGGGGTCTCCAGAGGGAAATCAGGGTGTCTCTCCCTAAGGGCTTCCTCTGCACTATCCCTGGAGGCTGACCCTATCCCTAAACCAAAGGGCACAGCTCCTATCCAGTCTTCTTTTGGAGCTCAAACCTTCCCCTTTCTTCCTTTCCTCAGACCTGGAGTGGCCTGTCCCTCCTGGGAACCGAGTCATTTCTGAAGCCACCCCTTCCCCAACACACCCCTGTAAACAGTCTTTTCACTAAACCCTCCCAGCTCTGCAGAACGGCCCACTCCCTCCAGCATCCTGCAGAACGGCCCACTCCCTCCAGCATCCTGGGAAGAAATGCCTCCCAGAGCACCCCTCTGGACACCCTAGCCTCACTTACCCGGGAAATGCCCACGATCTGCTCGTCAGGCAGCAGGCTGACTCGCATGAAGCAGGACTCAAAGCTGGCTTCCTCCCGCTCCAGGAGATCCTTGCCCTGAAGCACGGCCACGTGGAGAATGTGGGAGGTGGCGTCATAGTCCATGCTCACCTCCACCTGGCCTAGGGTGAAGTCCTGCCCAAAGGTGTTGCTCACAGACGAGATGGAGTTCAGAGAGTCAGCTGACTGGGACTTACGAAGGGTCCCGTAAGGGGCCAGGTCCAGCTCTCGGCCCATCAGCTCCAGGGGACCCAGCTCGCTGATAGTCTCAAAGGTGTCCTCAATGCTCAGGCTGCCTTTGCGGCTGGGCGGCCCTCGAGTGTTGGTCCGCGGGGCAGTCCATGGTGGTACTCGCTGGAGGTGAGTAAAAGAGTCACAGGGGCATAATTGGGTCTCAGATCTAGTCTCAGGATATGAGAAAGAGATTCCAGGAGATAGAATCCTCCAGAATGTTCTTCAAACTGTGACCTGCAGACCTCAGTCTCCTGAATAGCTGGGATTATAGGCACGGACCACTGGCACCTGGCTCTGTGGATGCCTTTTGTAGTATGTGTTTAAAACACTCTTTTGGAAAAGTTGTCCCAGTTTATACTCTTTCCAATAGAGCATGAGATGGTACCCCTGGGCACCCCAAATAAGAGTGCACTAGAGACTCTAATCTGGAGAGTGATGTTTGAAAAATTCTCTGCCAAGTGTTAAATGATGAAGTATTCAGCAATATAGATTGAGAGCCTTAAAAAATGATCTAGTGATCTAGTATTTCCGCATCTGGGCATCTGTCCAAAGTGCATTATCTCAAACGAAGACCGTTTTACATACAAAACACCCACTGTATTATTTATAATGGCATTTGGTAAATCATGGCTCATGCATAAAAATGAAATCTCATGCAAAATGATGTTATAGGCCAAGTTCCTGTGGCTTATGCCTATAATTCTAGCTACTTAGGAGGCTGAGATCTGAAGATCATGGTTCAAAGCCAACTCAGGCAGAAAAGTCTGAGACTCTTTTTTGTCAGTGGTGGGACTTGAACTCTGGACCTAGGTGCTGTTCCTCAGCTCTTCAGCTCAAGGCTAGTGCTCTACCACTTGAACCACAGTGCCGCTTCTGGTTTTTTGGTCATTTATTGGAGATAAGAGTCTCACAGACTTTCCTGCCAAGGCTGGATTTGAACCATGATCCTCAGATCTCAGCCTCCTGAGTAGCTAGGATTACAGGTGTGAGCCACCAGTTCCAGGCTTCTGAGACTCATATCTAATTAGCCCAAAATGCTCAAGTTGTAGAGTGCCAGCCTTGAACGAAAAGAACTAAGACAATAAGAGGCCCTGAGTTCAAGCCCCAGTCCTGGACATACACAGAGAAAAACAAAAACAAGAAGTAATTCTACTCTTTTCTCACTCTTCCTCCCTCTCTCCCTCCCTCCCTCCCTCCTTCCCTATCTCTCTCTCTCTCTCTCTTTCTTTTTTTCTATTTTTGGTCAGTCCTAGGGCTTGAACTAAGGGCCTAGATGCTATTCCTAAGGTTTTTGCTCAAGGCTAGTGCTCTCCCACTTTGAGTCACAGTACCACTTCAATTTTGGGGTGGTTTACTGGAGATAGTCTCTCAGACTTTCCTGCCCAGGCTGGCTTTGAACTGCGATCCTCAGATCTCAGTCTCCTGAGTGGCTAGGATTACAGGTGTGAGCCACCCAAGCCTGGCTAAGAAGTAATTTTTGAGTCCCTAGCACCATGCTAGGAGTGGATGATTTGCAGGGACCCAAGGGAGGCCTGGTCCCCATACCCAGGGGACATTAACCAGGATGGGGTAAGGAAAGGAGGGAGGGCCTGGGGGTCGGGGTGCAGGGGCACTCTGGTGTGTGCCTGCAGGGACAGAAGTCTCACCTGTGGCCTGGCCTCCGGGTAGGTCTCGCCATACTTCTGCTGAAGGTACCTGTAGTCATAATTGGGGAACGGGGAGGGGCTGGGGAAGCTCCCAGAAGTCCACAGCTTCCACAGACTCACGGCTGCAATTCCCAGCAGCGCCAGGGCCCCGGCCGCGTAGACGCCTACCTCCCAGCCAGGGGGGCTCTTGATGACTGTAAGGGTAATCTTTCATTAGTGGGGTACAGTGGTCCTAGACCTGCACTCAGGAAGCAGGTTGCTCAGCACTGATACTTATTTATGGAACAGATTGTGTGTGTGCACACGTGCATGTGTGTGCACCAATCCTAGGGCTTGGCCTCAGGGCCTGCCCAGGTGGCTTTGAACCAGCAATCCTCAAATCTCAGTGTCTTTAGTTGTTAGGATTGCAGGCATGAGCCTGCCCAGCCAGTTTTTTGTTTGTATTGTTTTTTGTTGGACATGGGGCTTGAACTCTGGGCCTGCACCTTGTCCTTGAGCTCTTCAGCGCAAGGTTAGTGCTCTATCACTTGAGCCACAGTGCCACTTCTGGTTTTCTAGTGGTTAATTGGAGATAAGAATTTCTCTGGCTGGCTTTGAACCTCAATCCTCATATCTCAGCCTCCTGAGTAGCTAGGATTACAGGCATGAGCCACTGGCTGTTTTTTTTTTTTTGACAGAGATCAGTCTTTCCTGCCCAGGCTAGCTTTGAACTGTGATCCTTAGATCTCAGCCACCTGAATAGCTAGGATTACAGTTTGGTGGCAGGGTGGGGGGTGAGGGCGGGCATGGAACCCAGGGCCCCCCACATGCTAGGCCACTGCTCTACCAAAAATAATGTCTCCTCACCGCCCCACCAGCAGCCCTCTGGGCTTCTGTTTCTTCCCCTAGAAAATGGAGGTGACAACAGAAACTTCCATATCTTATGGTCCCATCCTGGTGAATTTTTCTAAGGAGAAAAACTCCCCACCAGTTTTCTATGTCCTGAGTCAGCGAGGCTTATTTATAGCAGCAGAGCTCTGGAAATTGCCCGAAGGTCCCACCAAGGGGCTGGTTCTCTATGCTGTCACAGAAGGAATGTCACTGGCTTTTGAAAATGACAACTGAGGTTATTAGGCTGGCCCGGTGGCAATGTGCAGCATTTCTAGCATTGTTAAGAAGGAAAAACAACAACAACAAAGCTCAACCAGTCCCCAGGATGACATAACTACAGAGTTTTGATGTCAAAACCGCAGAGTGGAGATGAGAGATGGGGCAGACTAAAGCCAATTAGAAAGATGGGTAATGAGGCTCACCGTGACTCAAGCTATCTACTCCTGACTTCTGTGGTCATTCCTGGGCTCAAGAAAACTATGGTTTTCTATGGGCTCAGTCATGGCAAAGTTCTAGAATGTTCTATGAGCACAGGCTGTGATGGGAAAAGGTCTGGCCATTGGAAAATGTGAATTCTGCCTCAGCAGGGCCAAGATAGGATGGACAGCAGCATAGGCCTGGCAAGAGGGTGAGAAGAAAGGCCCTAGGTCTGAGCAGGTGCTGGGCAAAGTAGAGCCAGGCCCCCTGCATGTGAGAAGTGGGATCAGAGGTGCAAACATTTTCTCTGCTAAGGGCCATATGGCTATTTAAATATTTTTGGAGGCACATACAAAATGACCAACACTGGTCCCGGACAGCTGATGGAGCTTTGTGTCTGTCTCATACTGTACCTCAGCTAGCCCAGGTCCTGGGTGCAGAAGAGGAGCAGGTCTGGAGATAGGAAAGGAAAAGCCCCAAGAAGGTGATATGAAACTGGATGCCCGTGGCTCACACCTGTCATCCTAGCTACTCAGGAGGCTGAGATCTGAGGATCATGGTTTGAAGCCAGCTTGGGCAAAGAAGCCTGTGAAACTTATCTCTAATAAGCTACAAAAAATAAAAAAAAGAGCCGGGTGCTGGTGGCTCACGCCTGTAATCCTAGCTACTTAGGAGGCTAAGATCTGAGGATCATAGTTCAAAGCCAGCCTGGGCAAGAAAGTCCGGGAAACTCTTATCTCCAATAAACCACCAGAAAACCGGAAGTGGCGCTATGGCTCAAGTGGTAGAGCGATAGCCTTGAGCTGAAGAGCTGAGGGACAGTGCCCAGGCCCAGAGTTCAAGCCCCACGACCGACCAAAATAAATAAATAAATAATAAAATAAAATTAAAAAAGAAAAGAAAGGAAAGGAAAGAAGATGGAAGGAAGAAAGAAGGAAGGAAGGAAGGAAGGATGAACAAACTTAAGTGGAGCTGTAGCTTAAGTGGCAGAGCACTAGCCTTGAGCAAAAGAATCCCAGGGACAGGGTCCAGGCCTTGAGTTCAAGCCCCAGAACCAGCATCAAAAATGATGCCAGCTTGTTTCCATCCTGGCACTCTCCACCACCTATGGTGTCCGGACTCCGGGCTATCCTTTAATCCTATGCCACATGGAGCCGTGGGTGGAGTGACCTGGGCTGAGTGACCTGCCCTGCACGCTCCATGAGTCTAACCTGGACCTCCACAGGCAGGTGCTGACTCTTCTTAATCACGGCTGGCCCCTCCCACCCCAGCTTGTTGCAGTGGTGCAGGTAATGGCCCTTGGCCCTTGGTGGGTTGGGCCTGGGGGACTCACCGCTCAGATGATATTCTGTCACATCCACAGCCATAATGCCCCCTTCAGTGGCTGGACTAGAAGGAAAATGAGAGACAGCAGTAAGAGTTTAGGGAGCCACCAGCCCTGACCCTAGGTCCTACTTCTTTTTTTTTTTTTTTTTTGTTCAGTTATGGGGCTTGAACTCTGGGCTTGGGTGCTGTCCCTCAGCTCTTCAGCTCAAGGCTAGGGCTCTACCGCTTGAACCATAGCGCCACTTCTGATTTTCTGGGGGTTAATTGGAGATAAGAGTCTCATGGACTTTCACACCTGGGCTGGCTTTGAACCTCGATCCTCAGATCTCAGCCTCCTGAGTAGCTAGGATTACAGGCGTGAGACACCACTAGAGTTTTCACAGTCCGCTGTGAGGGGTGTTTGGCCAAAGATGGGTATTTTTTTTCCAAATTTTTTATTGTGATTAAGTGGTTACATAATTTCCCAAATTTCACAGTATTGTGGGATAGTGATGCTCAGTTAAAGTCACAAACACATTCTAACTTTCCTGGAGCAAATTGTCTATCACGGTCTATAACATTTATGAGTTCTATGAGCTTTGCCATACAGTATTTCTTCCACATTGGGTGGTATGTACATTTCTTTTGTTTTGCATACCATCAGCTGTTCCCTTTTTCCCACTTGTTCCCTCCCTCCCTCCCATCACTGCCATTAAGTTGCTTAGTTCATTTTGGTCAATGTCCAGCGCAGCTGATGGGTCCCGCTGTTATATGTTTTTTCCTGATTCCCTCTAGTTCTCTGTGGTCTTCCTGGTTCCCCTTCGGTGTACACATATATATCATACATGTGATCAGCAGCATGGGGTTATTTATAGTGATTTGACCAGATGAGTGGAAGTCCTTTGTTTCTTTTTTTTTTTTGTCTGGGCGCTGTCCCTCAGCTCTTCAGCTCAAGGCGAGTGCTCTACCACTTGAGCTACAGCGCCACTTCCGGTTTTCTGGTGGTTTATTGGAGATAGGAGTCTCACGGTCTCTCCTGCCCCGGGCTGGCTTTGAACCGCGATCCTCAGATCTCAGCCTCCTGAGTAGCTAGGATTACAGGCGTGAGCCACCAGCACCGGGCAGTCCTTTGTTTCTTAAGTCCTGTTAATTTTGTCATATCACCTAACATTTTGGATTTAACATCCACTTATCAGGGACACCATGTACCTTTTGTCTCTGCTCTTGGCTTACCTCACTCAACATGATTTCTTCTAGCTCCATCCATTTCCCTGCAAATGCCATTATTTTGTCATTTCTAATGGCTGCATAATATTCCATGTGTATAGATAAAAGTGGGTATTTTTAAGATTTTATCATCATCATTATTATTAAGACTATGTAACTCAGCTTGGAACTCAGGGCCTGGGCACTGTCCCTGAGCCTCTCTGTGCTCAAGCTTTGGCTCTATCACTTGAGCCACAGAGCCATTTCTGGCTTTTTTTCTGTGTATGTGGTACTGAGGAATCGAACCCAGGGCTTTATGCATGCTAGGCAAGCACTCTACCACTGAGCCACATTCCCAGCCCATCTAAGCATGCATTTAATAATGGCTTCATTCAGTCCTAACAACCCTTCAAGGTAGGCACTATTATCACCTAAGGAGTTAAAAGTAATTTGCCCCAGGCCACACAACTAAAAAGTTGTCAACCCACAACTAATAAGTGAGCTTCTAACCATTGTGTCTTACCACAGAAGGTTTCAAAAAAGCTGCCTAAGCAGGGTGCCAGTGGCTCACGCCTGTAATCCTAGCTACTCAGGAGGCTGAGATCTGATCACCCTGCCAGCATGGGCAGGAAAATCCATGAGGCTCTTATGGCCAATTAACTACCCAAAAAGCAGGAGGTGGAGCTGTAGCTCAAGCTGTAGAGTGCTAGTCTTGAGCACAGAAGCTCAGGGACAGTGCCTAGGCCTTAAGTTCAAACCCCAGCATTGGCACATGCGTGTGCATGCACACACACATATACACACTCATATACACAACTGCCCAAGAACTAGAAGTCAGATGGCTCACGGGGTAGGAGGTCATGGTGGCTCTGGCTCCTGGCAGAAGCGGAGCTGCATCATCACACACACCCAGCCTGCTGAGGCCTGGCCGGAAATCCAATAATAATGCCAGGCTTCTTTCCTGTGTACGCAACACAAATTGGCTCATCAAAAGTAAAGCCAGGGCTGGGAAGGTGGCCCAGTGGTAGAGTGCTTGCCTTGCATGCATGAGGCCCTGGGTTCGATTCCTCAGCACCACATAAACAAAAAGAAAAAAGCTGGAAGTGGCGCTGTGGCTCAAGTGGTAGAGCGCTAGCCTTGAGCTGAAGAGCTGAGGGACAGTGCCCAGGCCCAGAGTTCAGGCCCCACGACCAGACCCCCCCAAAAAAAAAAAAAGAGTAAAGCCAAAGTTGGACACCAGTGGCTCATGCCTTTAATCCTAGCTACTCAGGGGGCTGAGATCTAAGGACCATGATTCAAAACCAGCTAGGGCAGAAAAGTCCAAGAGACTCTTTATCTCCAGTAAACTACTCAGAAAATGACAGAAGTGGCGCTGTGGCTCAAGTGGTACAGCGCTAGCCTTGAGTACAAAGAGGCTCAGGAACAGTGCTCAGGCCCTGAGTTCAAGCCCCAAGAATAAGGCCAAGTTGGGACAGAAAATACCAACATTGTTAGCAAGGCACAAAAACGCATGCTACTGTTGGAAACTCAGGCTTTGGAGATGGAGATGTGGCTCAGGTGGCAGAGAGCCAGCCCAATAAAAGCATCAGATACTGAGTTGTAGTCCCATTCTCAGACAAAAAACCAGAAACAGGCTGGGCGCTGATGGCTCACACTTGTAGTCCTAGCTACTCAGGAGGCTGAGATCTGAGGATCCCAGTTCAAAGCCAGCCTAGGCAGGAACGTTCTCCAAATAACCAGCAAAAAGCTGGAAGTAGAGCTGTAGCTCAAGTGGTAGAATGTTAGCCTTGAACAAAGAAAAGCTCAGGGATAGCACCCAGGTCCTGAGTTCAAGCCCTAGGGCTAGCACAGAAGGAAGGGAGGGAGGGAGGGAGGGAGAAAGGGAAGGGAAGGGAGGGAAGGGAAGGGAAGGGAGGGAGGGAGGAAGGAAGGAAGGAAGGAAGGAAGGAAGGAAGGAAGGAAGGAAGGAAGGAAGGAAGGAAGGAAGGAAGGAAGGAAGGAAGGAAGGAAGGAAGGAAGGAAGGAAGGGGGAGACAGGAAGGGAGAGAAACTAGCTATATGAGGCTGGTCCTACTCAGACTCCTGGAATCCAATCTGCTCCCCCCCACCCCCCATCATAACCCTTTCCCTGGAAAGCTGTGAATTAGGGGAAGGTGTGAATGACTGCTAGGCACACCTGTGGCCTGCCATAAGGGTTAGAGGCAGAGCACAGCTGCCTGAGAGGAGGGATGGAAAACCAGGCAGATGTGGTAGTTTCTGTAGACCTCAGCCCCAGGGGAGGACAGCAGCTTGGAATCCCAGACCTGTCTCTGTCTCTTTGATGGCTCCAGTGGCCTCTGACCCCTGACTCCTAGCAGTGAGGCTAATTTTCTTAGTCTGAGCCTAGTTTCTTTCTCTCTGTAGAAAGGGCTTGTGACTGCCTGGAGGGTGGACTAGCCCTGCCAGCCTTTGGAAGTGTTTTGTTTGTTGAAATTTAAAGAAATCATATTTTAATTTTGTGTGTGTGTGGTAGTATTGGGACTCGAACTCAAGGCTCCACACTCTTGCTTGGCTTTTTTTTTTTTTTTTTGCCAGTCCTGGGGCTTGAACTCAGGGCCTGGATGCTGTCCCTGAGCCTCTTTGTGCTCAAGGCCGGTGTTCTACCCCTTGAGCCACAGTGCCACTTTTGGCTTTCTCTGAGTAGTTTATTAGAGATAAGAATCTCAGGGACTTTCCTGCCCAGGCTGGCTTCAAATCGCAATGCTTAGATCTCAGCCTCCTGAGTAGCTAGGATTATAGGAGTGAGCCACCAGTACTAGGTTAAATTATATCCCTCCCCACATTGGGAAGCCTCTAATAAAACATGGATTTCAGTGGCAGAGCACTTGTCTAGTATGTGAGACGCTGAGTTCCATCCCAGTACTGCAAAAAGAAAACAAAAATAAAAAGTAAAGAAAAGAGAAAAGGATTTTCAGTTTCTCTTGAAAAGTGTGACTCTAGTTACAGTGGGTCTGCTTCCACTCACCGCCAGCAACCATGAGGCTTTTGTTTTGGGTCAGACCTGGCCCCTCCTCACTTCTAGAACCTGCCGGCCCCTGGAACATCTCTGTGCAGGAGCCTGGTAAACTGAGTTTGAGATAAGCTAGGAGATGTTCAGAGAGGTTGAGCCGCTTGCCTAAAGCCAACAGTCCTGATGTCCAGCACCTATTCCACCAACAGTGTCTTCCTATCAACCACACCATGTGCCTTTTCCATTCCCAGTTCTCCCTAAGACCCCTCGAGGGGTAAATCCTGTTGCCCTCACGTCGTGGAGAAGGAAGGAAGGCACGGAGAAGGCGCAGAGCAGTGGCTCAGGGACACAGTCATTGTCGGGAGGCCAGACTGGGGCCAGGTCTGGGTTTGCAACAAGTCCTTTTCTTAATGATGCCACTCACGATCCCGAGACCCCTCTGACGCCATGTCACCTCAGGTGCCTTCCACCGGCTCCTGCTGGCGGCCTGGAAGTCTGCCAAGCACAGGGGCTGTGCATTTGCTTCGGATGCAGATGCTGACAATGCAGATGACAAGTTTCTCCCATGGCTTGGGGGAAAGAAGGGGGGAGGCAGGCTTCGTCTGAGCTCCAGACGGCATGTCCCTCCTGCAAGCCTTCTCCTCACTCTCTCTACCTAAGGGACCTCAGCTACACAGCACAGACCTGGCTCTTGGTTCAAATCCCATCTTGGTGCTACCCACCCAGCAGAGACACACCTCTCTCAGGCAGCTGAGCTTATGGATCAGGGGGGTTCCCCATTTTATAAATGAGGATGCAGCTCCCCCCCCCCCCATGAATAGCAACTCTGGGCTCTGTGCCAGGAGCCATGGACTTGGCCTGGGCTCTGGGCCACCATGCTGAT